CTCAGTCCCCATCCCACCGGCCCTTCGAAACTCATCCCGAGCAATCCCACGAGCACTTCCCAGGGCCCCCTCGCTCTTTCGCAAGGTTTTCTTAATCCCCGATCCCGATCACGAGGCGCGCATCGTTCGCCGGCTCCACTTGGGCGGCGACGCGTGAAAGTCGGCCGGCAAAAAATCAAACGGCTCCGCAAAGGGAGCACTTTCCGCGCCCCGGGCGAAAGAGGCGAAACCGAGAGCGAGGTGAGTCCCGTCCGGGCGGGGGGGAACAAGTAAAAAAAAAAAAGTTGACAAAACTGGGAAGGGGGAAAAAATCGGGAGCGCGAATCGATCAAAGCGACGCCGCCCCGATTACGCCAGGAATTACTCGCTCCGGAGCGAGGGCCATAAAAACTGGATAAAAAGGCGACGCGCGCAATAAAAAATAAAAATAAATATATAAAAGAAATCTCTCTCTCTCCCTATAAAAAAAAAAAAAAAAATCCAGGAAATCTCTCCCGTTATCCCTGAGGAAGGTAATGGAAAGAAATAAGGGGGACCCTCCCCCTGGTCCATCTTCGAGGTGTCCTGGCGCCTCTCCGATTGTTGTGAAATTTTTCGCGAAAATAAAAAAATCCCTCCCCCCCCCCTCAGTTACGCAAATTGGGTCGCGGGTCCGGACACAGAGACAGGCGCACGTTTCGCAATTATGTACATAATGGGCGAACCATAGAAGTCGCCTAACGAACCAGGACGAGTCCCCCCCTTATCAAGGGTTCCCGCGGGACTCCCAGAGTCCACCCCCGATCCGGGAGGAGCTTCGCGATCCTGATGGATCCGGGGTTCCCGGGCATCCCGCGAGATTCCGGTACCTCGCCCTGAAATTCGGGGAACGGGGGTTGGGGGGGGGGCTGGCACCATTAAAGGGATTCCCGGCGCACCTGGACGCACCCCCTGATGGCTTCCATGCATCTTTCATGGTTCCGGATCGCGAAAGCGATTATCTCGAGGCGGCGACCTCAAAGCAGGTGCGCGCCGACCTTAACGAGGTCGCGGGGAGGAGCCTCCGGGATTTCCCCCACCCCCCGGAAATTTTACGTTGCTTAAAATCGCGGGAAAAAAAAAAAAGATGAAAACTAGTGAATACGGAAAATACAGATTTTATGTGTTTCATTGTTTTTCCTATTGTTCTAGGGAAACTTCTTATATGTGGATTTTTCACCAGGTGATGGGGGGATACCTGCGGAAGTTCCGCCAAGGCATTTAATCGAAAGCGGGTTAATCGGCGCGGATTTCTTCGACCTCTCACCTCGGCGACCCGCGCGATTCGGCGCTAATGCGCTTAGTGAGGTCGACTGCCCCCCCCCCCCCCAGGTTTACCCCCTTTTTCGGTACTCACTCTTCAGGAGAGTGAGAGAGAGAGAGACAGAGAAAGATGGAAGGAGGATGGAGAATGAGGTCGACTTCGCAGGGGGGGATTCCCCCCACCGGTACACTTCGAGCAATCGAGAGCGACTCTCCAGAAGGCGGAAGTGGAACGCAAGAGATCTCTAGGAGCATTTTGCAGGAAATCCGGGGGAAAGGGGGAGAGGCGGTTACATGAATTTTTCAGGAATCGCGACTGATAAGGACGCAAGATAAGACAGGGATGCAGCATGGACCAAGTGCATTGTGGTCGGAAGAGGAGAGAGGAGATGTAAAGTAGGGAGTTCTTGGTAGGGGGGAACCGGGGAAGGGGTACGAGAACTTTTATCCCGGGGGATAAATCGGATGAAGAATGGGCTGCGGAGCCTGCGTCGATCTGGACCACCAGACGCCGTTATCGGGATAAACCGTGGAGAAACGGGGAGGTATACCTACGTGTACGCCCGCGGTCGTAACCGCGCGGGTCCCCGGGATGAATTCCCGTCTGGCGGCTCAACGGCGCACGGTACGCGGAAACGTCACGGGGAAAAGTTCCGCGGCTGATCGTTCCGCGAGACTTTCGTCCCGACGACTTCGCGATGCGGAGCACCCGCGAGGCGGAAAACGCGCCGCAGCGCCCGAGGGCCGGGGTCGCGAGCCGCCCCGGGGAAACGCGATTTTCCGTACCAGCGGGGCGGAATATGAGAAAGTACCCCGGACGAAAGTCCTGCGTGAGGCTGTAAGGAGCAACTTTCGTGGAGGGCACTTTCCGCCCCTGACCCCCCCTGAGTCGGAAATCCGATGATAAGGGGCGAACACCCCTTTCGCGTCCTAACCCTGTACCCGTACACTCAGCGATAGATCGACGCTTATCGATGGCGGATTAATTGCGAGATAATTATCGACACGTTTCTCGCCACTTTAGGGAGATGCGTCCCCCTTTCCCGATCCCATTTTCTACTCCTCTCGTATTCTTACCCTCTCCCATCTTATCTGTACATGTGGTCTTCATCTCTCTCCCCTTGTCGCGTGAATTCGACGCGAGATAAATCGCATCCTCGCACCAGGACTCGCGTCAAACGGAGGTATTCCGCCCGATCCGGCGAATTTTGATAAATAACCAAACTCCCTCGGAACTCCCCTTCGCCGTATCCGTTTCCCTAGGGATGCGTCTCGGGACGAATTCTCGAGTGCATTCGCCGTCTCCGTTTCCTCGATTTCGAGGATCTCCTCTCCTCGTCCTCCACCTCCTTCTCCTCCGTTCGACGCATCTGCCGGTCGTTACGGATTCGTGGCTCGAATCCGCGCGGAGGAGACGCGACGTCTCCGCCGCGTCGCGTGCGTCGCGTGTCTCGAAACCGTCGCGTGTTCCCCTTGTTCCCGGTATTCCCGTAGATCCTGTGCCGTGTAACGTGACTCGTAATCGGATGCTGGAAAGGGATCTCCTGGACCACGGCCGACAGCTGGCGTCCCGAATTCCCTGCTCGATTATTTACGCGACACTGTTCCCGTGGGATGTCTAAAGCCCTACTCAAGATCCGTGATAAGACCCGTGATACGGACTCGTTCGAATGGCGCGCGTTAATCCAAGCAATGGCACATTTATAAAATTTTGAGACTGTTGCTGCGTATAAAAAAAAAAAATATATTCGTGATCTTAATAATGAAGAGCTCTGTGGGTGAACGCGAAAGAGTCTGAAGGTCCCGAGGGATAAGCACGGTCCTTCGACAAGAATCTCTCCCCTGAAGACTAAATTCCCTGTTACGAAGGGGTAGGAAAATCTTCGTCGATCTACTCTCCCGACTGCACCCTTATCCCGAGGGAGTGCTTCGATGGAGTCCCGGGAACCCTCGAGACCGATGATCCGGGACGTCGGGATCACCTTCGACACGGAGGGATGAGTCGCATCCTGGGGAGGATTCTGGATCCGGGAACGAATCGACCCCGTCGCAGATCGGGGAACCCGAGGGAGTCGACCGCTAGACGGGATAAAGGAGAGAGGTCCATTAGCGGCGGGATTCCAGGGATTCCTGGACCCTTCTGGGAAGGGGGAAAGTGGATAGATGGAGAGCGGAAAAGAGGGAAACCGAGACGTAGCGAGAGAGATGGAAGGGATCCCCAAAACTTGGGACTCTCCTGGGCGCCGCTCTCGGGCCTCGCATCGTGGCCTCTCTCTCTGACTTACGGCGCGACGCCTCGGTTTCTCTTCGTCGCACTCATAGGGAAGATGGGAATATGCTCGCGCGCCGTCTCTACATATGGACCCGATGCGCTCAAATTGCTCGTAAGCGATTCAACCCTCGACGAACATCTACATATAAATGTATATATAGACGTATCTCCGCATATACCAGTATATACCGGTACATTTCTATACATTTGCATTCGAACACCAGACATCCCGGCGACACGCCGGAAAGTCTCCAGGACGCGGGGAAAGTAGGGATGATGCTGCGGCGCGGAGGGAAACCTCCCTCTACCTCATTTACCTTTTTTCCTCGACGAGGGTTCCCCCGGCGTGGCTGATAAAGAGACGCGCAGTAAAGGGAGGGGGAATAAAAAATTGGAGTCCCGCGCAACTCTACCGATAACTCGCCCGGGTTATCCCTGATTAGGGAACTTGGATGAATTTTTCCCCTTTTCGGCCATCCCGGGGGGTGCGAATCCGCCCCAATTTTCGGGACCCCCATCAAGACCCTCCGCTTCAAACTTTGCAACTCGATCCGGGACTGATAACTGGGGGGCTCTGATAAGCCACCCACCGATAATCTCCCGGTTACTCGTATCGAATAATCGACGATAAGAAAAATCGACGGTACTCGGGCGAATTAAGTATAAAAATATTAAACAAGAACATAAAGGCAATCCAAACGTATGAAGAACTTTTGGTAAATTTCAAGGTCCCCATAGCCTCTTATCACAGGTATTAAATATACCATTACCCGCAATTTTTTACCGTAGAAAAAGTATGAGTCATATGTACCTTGTCAATTTTTCAAGGAGTGATAAGAGTCCCCTGCGATTAGACCCCCCCGGAGGGGGGGCCACGATAAGGGGCGGGTTTATCGGCGGCGTCGACGGCGTGCCGACGTTACCACCGACGCCCCATGAATATGTATCGCCCCTGAATATGCATTTTCGCCCTGACGAAACATTATTTCCCCCTTCCCCTCAAAAGGGGGGGGCGAGACCCACCCCCAGGGGGATCGATACGTAAACTCGCGAGGAACGTCTCGTGACTCGAAGTCTCTCTTCGGCCTCGATCGCTTCCGAAATGCAGCGTATGTGCACATATATACACATATACATATCACATGCATATATAGCCACCGAAGGGTCTCTTCAGGGTGCACCTTCCCTCCGTACCTGGAGAACGTGAAGAAACGTTGGGTCGTTCCGCAAGTTTGCGAGGAAATTATTTTTCTTTCTTCTTTTTATTCTCTGGGAATAATTTCATATCGAGCCGATAAAAATTGTTTGGAAAAATATTTTCTTCGTATCGCATCGTTTTAACGTTTGATAACGGAAAATCCTGAAACGACGCTTCGGGGTTTAAAACAATTTTTGATTGGTTGAAAAATTAAAAAAAAATATGTTTATCAATATGGGAAACACTCACCCTCGTCGTCTATGGAGAACAGGCCGAGTCCGTCGCCGCCGCGGATGGTGTACCCGACTCTGGAGTCGCCTCCCGGGGGATCCGCGTCCTTGGCGCGCACAGTCGTGACCAGGGTGCCGATGGGTCGGTTCTCGGGGACCCTCGCTGAGACGACGAAGTCCTCGAACACCGGAGGGTGAAGGTTCTCGTTGACGTCGACGACCTCGACGACGAGCATCGTCTCCGCGGAGAGGGCGGGTTCGCCTCGATCGACGGCGAGCACCGTCAGGGTGTGGACCTGGCGCTCCTCGAAGTCGAGTTTCCTGGCAGTCCTGACGGTGCCGGAGAGCTCGTCGACCTCGAAGAAGCCCTCGTCGTCCTCGTCCTCGCCGCCCAGGAAGTACTCGACCCTGCCGGCGGCCCCTTCGTCGGGATCGGCAGCCTCCAAGACGGCAGCGACGGTCCAGGGTGGGACGTCTTCTCTGAGTTTGACGGTATAACTCGCCAGGGCGAACTTGGGGGGATTGTCGTTGACGTCGTCGACGGTGACCCGGACGAGGGCCTCGGAATGCAGAGCCGGAGGTCGACCTCCGTTGTCGATCGCCCTGATCTTCAGCTCGTAGAGGTCCTGGCGTTCCCGGTCGAGGCCTCCCTTGACGGCCAGGACCCCGGTAACGGGGTCCAGCTTGAAGTCCTCGGTCTCCGTCACCAGGGAGTAGACCACCCTGGCGTGTTCCCCGAGGTCGGCGTCGGTGGCATTGGCCCTGAACACCGAGGTGCCGTCCAGGGCGCTCTCGGAGACTCTGAAGCTCGCTAGAGACTTCTCGAATCTGGGGGGATTGTCGTTGACATCGAGGACCGTCACCGGGAGCATTCTCGAGGCGGCCTTCTGGGGCTGGCCCAGGTCGTAGACGCTGACGTTGAGGAAGTACTCGGTCTCCCTTTCCCTATCCAGACGACCCACTAAGCGAAGATCCCCGGTGTCGGGGTCCACCGCGAAGACGGAGTCCCGGTCGCCGGCGGAGATCCCGAAGACGAGTTCTCCGTTGTATCCCTGGTCCCTGTCCCTCGCGCGGAGCTTCACCAGGGTCGATCCAACTGGTAGGGACTCATTCACCCTGACCTCGTCAGGGAACTCGACGAATTCCGGAGCGTGGATGTTCTCGCCATACCTGCTCGGGATCATCGCCCCGGCGGCGTCGACCTCGTCCTGGAGGGACGGCGCCTCGTTCCTCTCCGCCGCGGCGATGACCTCCGTAAGCCTCCTAGCCACCCCGGTGTCCCTGCACTCGAAAGCCCCGTTCTCCTCGGCAGTGAGCATCCTGCTCCTCTTGGCGTTCACCAGGTGCATCCTGATCCTTGCTGGATCGGCGAAGTGGGTACCGTCACTCGCGGTCACATTGATCTCTCGCTCGCTCACCCTGACGTCCCCCAAGTCGCAGGCCACCGAGAGAACCCCGCTGGCCGGGTCCAGAGCGAAGCAGCCATCCTCGTTCCCGGAGATGATCCGGTACCCGATGACGCTCCCCGCGTCCAGGTCTATCGCCGACACCGTCGCGATCTCCGTGCCGATGGGCACGTACCTAGGGACGTGACCCTGACAGTCCACCTTCTCGAACTGCGGCCGGTTGTCGTTGACATCCCTGAGCCGCACCCTGAGCCTCGTCTCCGCCTGCCTCCGGTGCGGCTGGCCCCAGTCGCTAGCCCTCACCCTGAGGACGTATTCTCTCCGCATCGTCTCATAGTCCAAGAGTCGCTTCGTCCTGACGATACCGGAGAAATGCTCGATCTCGAACGGGACCTTGCCGATGTTGTCCAGACTGTAGGAGATGTAGGCGTTCTCGCCGGAGTCTCTGTCTCTGGCGACGAGCCTGGCCACGGAAGTGCCCGCGGGCTCGTTCTCGTCGACCCAGGCCAGGGTGGCCTCGTCCCTCTCGAATTTGGGATCGTTATCGTTGGCGTCCAGGACGTTGATTTTCACCTTCGCAGAGGACTGCTTCCTGGTGCCGGCATTACCCTGGTCGACCGCGGATACGGTCAGGGTGTACAGGGCCTTCCTCTCGGCGTCCAGACCGACCGCCGTATACAGAGTCCCCGTGTCCGCGTTGACGTAGAACTCCCCACCCTCGTTGCCTCCCACGATCTCCAGGAAGACCAGGGCGTTCCGGCCCTCGTCGGCGTCAGCGATCTTCAACCTGATCAGGGGAGTGTTCGGGGGAGCGGTCTCGGGGACTCGCACCTCGTAGATCTCCCTGCTGAAGACCGGGGCGTTGTCGTTCAGGTCGGCCAACTTGACCGGAACGCTTTTGTAGCTGAAACGCGGGGGGACGCCTCTGTCGAGAGCCCTCAGGGTGAGGTTGTACCCTCTGGGGGCGGTCTCCTTGTCCAGGAGACGAGACACCTCGATATTGTACTCCCTGGAGCTGGGGATGGTGGAGGATGAGCTGGGTGATCCCGAAGAGGACTCCGGGGACGTCTCCGCTCCACGGGATGATTCGATCCCTCTGTCCACGGGTCTCGCCCTGAAGTGGCCGTCCGGGTCTCCGTCGACGATCTCTAGGCTCTCGATCTCCCCGTGGATCCCCTCGTCCCGGTCGACCACCCTCACGATGGCGTACACGTCCGCGCTCGAGTGCTCCAGGATATCCGGCAGGTGGTGGACGTAGATTTCCGGGGCGTGCAGGTTCACCCTGCGCACCCTGACCGTGACCTTGGCCACGCTGGTGGAGGAGCCGAAGCTCCGGAAGGGAGCGCCCCTGTCCTCGGCGAGGACCTTCAGTTCGTGGACGGCCTTCTCCGAGTACCTGAGGGGCCTCGTCAGGGTCAACACCCCGCTGACCGGGTGCACCGCAAACTGCCTGCTCTCCTCGGCGAAGCTGTAGTAAATCTCCCCGTTCCTGCCCAGATCGGCGTCTTCGGCGACCACCCTGAGGATGTTCTTATGGAGAGCAGCGTCCTCGGGGACGGTGGTCTCGTACTCGGTGGGGTAAAACAGAGGGTTGAGGTCGTTAACGTCGAGGACGGTAACCATGACGGTGGTGTCCGCTTCCTTGACGATCTCTTCGAAGCCCTCCTCGGGGTCTTCTTCGTTGTCCTCTTCGGCGTCTCTCGAGGTCTTCCTTTTTACCGCCGGAAAGGTCGCCGTCGCCCTCACTTCCAACACGTAGCGGTCCTTCCGCTCCCTGTTGAGGACGTCCACGTTTCCCGTCCTCGTCCTTATGAAGAGGAAGCAGAAGTCCCCGACCGTCCTCTCCTCGGCCTTAAAGAACTTGTCGCGGTCCCCGCTGACGATCCGGTATCTCACCTCCGGCCGACCCGGGCCCCGACCTCGACCTCGGCCTCGAACTGGACCGCCCAGGTGGATACCCATCCGCTCCTCCGGGACGGCGTAGGTCCTGCCGATCGAGTTCTCCGGCACGGAGACGTTGTACACCGACCTGGTGAAGCGGAACGCCGCGGGCGGGCCCTCGACCTCCTCCGGGTGCGCCGACCTCGACGAGGTCGAGGCCAGCCAGAGCCACAGCCAGAGCCAGGGCCACGCCCGGCGAGGCCGGATGGGCCCCGACGACCTCGCCATCCCCGGCTACCTGGGCCCCCGCTAGCTCATCCTAGACCTCGAGTGACCTCGACCTCGACTTCCGGACCGCACGGCCCGGATGACTCTTCCTCGCCGTCCACCGCCGCCTGAAAAATCCAAGGAAAGGAATTCAGTACTCGAGTGTATTCACTTTTCGAGGGTAATTTCGCACTTTCGCATTGTCGCGAAAAATTTCAACTCCACTTTCGTATCACCTTAAATATCGCTTATCGGCGTCCCTTATCGGAAGGATATGATTTTCTATCGCAAAGACCGAAATTAGTGACGAGTATGCTGGAAAAGATTCGCTCGAGAAAAAAGGTGATAAATAGTTTTTCCCCCATCCGGAATCCCGGGACCTCGTCCCTCACCGGGATCCTGGATTTTCTCGCTCCTGGAACAGAGCAGCGACCCCCCGCGAGGGTCGCGCCGATACCGGGACCAGGACCAGGATGACAAACGGCCGTCGACGATTCAATCGCGCCCGAGATACGCCTTCCCGACGGACGGGTCCCGATTTATGCAGCAGGACTCCCTCCCCGCGTTCCCGGAAATCCGCAGGGATGGGTGTCCCCGCGGATGGGAGATCCCGGTGGGATAACTGGCGGGTGATAAGAAGAGGGACGACGGGGGGAACGTAAATAAGTAACCGGAGGGCACGAGGCCAGCCTCTTCCCCATATTCCCGGCGGGTCCCGAGATCAAAGAGGGCTCTAACAAGGAGGCACGCGACCCCGGGAAATTCATTTCATCCCCCGGGACCTCGATCCCGATTGAATCTCCGGGCTCTCAAAGCCGTGCAATCCGAGCCGGCCGGGGAATCCGAAAAATCCGAAAAATCCGTAAATCCGAAAAATTCACCCGGGTTACCGGGACGACTCGCCCCTCGTAATATCCTGAGGGATGCTCCGAGGAAACTTAACACCGGAAGGGAGGAAAAATAAGAACTACTAGAATTAAAAAAAAAAGTCCTAAAAGGCATAAAATTTGAAAAGACAACCCTCGACATCCAGAAATACTCCACCAGGGGCCCAAATTGTGTCCGGGGGAATTAATACCGAGACAGCAACAACAGCAACAGGAAGAAAAAAAAAAGATAAAGACGGGAAGCACTTGTCCCCCGAAGAGGCGAGAAAGGCCGGCGGCTCGCGCCTTTCTCGGGCGTCCCGCGGGAAAGAAAGGGCCCATCCCCGCGGAAACAACGGGACGCCCGGAGAAAACCCAGCTGGGACAATGGGCCACCGAGAGAGGGAGAGAAAGAGAGAGAGGCGCGTCGCCATTGTCGGCGAGAGCGACACGGAAGAAGCGAGGCGAGAGACAGAAAGACGGACAAAGACAGACAGAGGGAAATCCCGACCCGCGCATTGTTCGTTGGGGATGCGCCCCCTTCGTTTTTTTCCCCCCCGCCCATTCTCAGCCCCCGTCTCCCTCGGTCCATCTGGCCAATCCCTACCGAATTAAAGAGCAATTAGATTTGGGGGGTGTGGGGCAATCGCCCCACCCCCCGTCCGTCGCATGTCATGCACCTTTCTCTCGGTGGAGGAAACACCCCGGAAGAGCAGGCGCCCGTTAAAAGCCCGGCATTCTGGGGGGGATGATTTCCCTCCTGGAGAGGGGGCGTCAACGTCGGGACGCCTCTCCTAGGCGAGGGTCTCTCGCTCGTCTTTCCGACACACTCGGGAGCGCCGTCGTTCCCGAGCGTCGCGGCGCTCGTTACCGCGGGCGCCCCCTCTCTCGTCCCCCATCATCCCCCCCGCACCCTTTGTCTCCGAGTCTGCAGGGTCTTTTCAACGAGTGCGCTCTCTCGTTCAGACACTCTCCGCGCGTAGCCGCGGACGAGGTTAATCGCTACTTGACCCAATTTCATTCTCGCGCCTTAATGCTCCGCCGAGAACAATGGCGCCTTAATGTCGCATCCGTAGAGGGGGGTCCCCCCGGGCCCCCGGGCTGCAAGGGAGTGCCTCTTCTCGAGTCGAGGGGAGGAACTGACTGGAATCGACTTCGACGCCTTTGAATGTCGAGATGTCAATTTTAAAAAATTTTTTTAAGCACGCTGAGGGAGGGGGGGGGGGAGTAAACCTGGATTGAAAGTGAAATCCAAGATAAGATTCGTCTCGGGGGGAAGGGCGAAGTGGGGGGGAAAATTTAATTGGTCACTCTCCATCAGTCCCCCCGCGGTCTCTTTACACGTGGAGGGAGGGGTCCCGCGGGGACCGCGGAATCCTGAGGAGGGCCAGGGGAGAGGATTAAAAAGGAGGAAACGCGCGCTTTTCAGCAACCCGGCCAATTAATTCCGCGGCCCCCTTATCAGGATTCCTGCGCGACCCCCTCCCCCGAGAGAGAGAGAGATAGAGGTTATGTGCACCGCCGAGAGGGACCCGTTCTTCGGGGCACGGCGGAAAGAAGGAAGAGGAGGAGGAAGGAGAACGGTGGGGGCGGAGGGGGGGGCAACCAAGAGGAGGAAAACGAAGGGCCCACTCGAGTCGCGGCTCGGACGGGGAGGAAGAGGCACGAAAGAGAGAGAGAAAGAGAGAGAAGAGGCTCGAGAGAGGTCGATGCACTTCGGCGGTGCATTGCCACCGAGGCCCCGAAGAAGTGGGGGGGAGAGGGAACCTGCCGAGGCCACTCGAGGAGGGCCCGGAGGACCCGAGAGAACCCGAGGAACCCAGACAGAGAGAGAGAGAAAAAGATACAGTATGGAGAGAGATGCAGAGAACGGCAGGTGCAGTCCGGGGGAGCCCCCCCAAAAGGGGGGGACTGCCTCGCCGGGATATGGATTCCCGGTGATCGTATGCACCGGGAGAGCCGATCGGGACCTCTCGCGAATCGCGACACCCCTCCCCCTACCCCTCCCGACTGCACTTGCACTTGCAGGTGCACTCGCAACGAGGCAGATAACGGCTGCCGCTCTGATAACTCGTCAAAGGCGTCCCCACCTGGTCGCGGCGTCCCCCGGGATTACGGGGTGGGTGCACCACGTGGAGTGCACCGCGATGCCCCGGCGACGAGTGGGCACTCGGTGGGAGGTGATCGATCGGCCCGATCGATCCCGACGCGTTGCGAGGAGGGCACCCTCTCTCCGGGTATCGGGGTGGTCCGCGGGGTAGCAGGTGCAGGGTGGAGGCATCTCGTGGGGACGGGGGGCCTAGGTGCAATCTCGCGGTCGAATCCGGTAATCGGGGGCGAGGGCATCCCGGGGGGTGTCTCGCGACCGGCGATTTTCGAGGTCCCACCTCCTTCTCGTAACGCGACACCCCTTACGCGATGGTTCTCGGGAGGACCGCGCATCGTCGCACCCGATACTCCCGAGTAAGGTATCTCCGAGTGTGAAGTTCCTTCACCGAGGGGGTGAAAAAAAAAAAAGAAAAAAAAAATTGCATATTCCTTGCACCGACGAAACGCTTCCTCGGTAGGATCAAAAAGAAATGATGTGTCTCCCACGGTCCGATGCAGTTTCTCGTTCTCTGGGCACACCTGGATAATCGGGTGCAACGTTCTACAGTGCCCGCCACCCCTGGACAAAATCCGTGGCTCGCTCCAGTCCACTCGAAAAGAAAAAAAGAAAAAAAAAAAAAATCCCTATGCAACATCGTTGCCCCCGACCCATCCGCATGCAATATCCCGACACGCGACACATCGGAACCCCGGACCCGGGGGTGTACACCCTCCGTACAGTCATCCGCGATGCATCGATCGCCGAAACGACCTGCCCCCTCCTCCCCCACCACCAACCCGGAGTGGATGCACCGACGGGGATACAAAAGTGCATCATCCGATAAGCCGTCCTCGGCCAAGGTTGCATCGGGACCTTCGATCGATCGCCTTATTGGCGAATCGACTCTTATTGGGTTCACGGGCCGCGGGCTCCACGCGCCTACGTTCATTCCGCTCATTACGCGTTCATTACGCGGGGGGGGGGGGGGGTCCTCGCGAGGACTCGCGAGGGAGATAGGAGGGAAGGGGGAGCTCGTTGCCCGCGTCGACCCCGCGAGTTTAGCGAACCACGGGTGCGGGGGGTGGAGGGGTTGGGAGGGGCCAACGGGGTACGTGCGGTTCGAGTAAGCGCATTTAATTATCCGCGCGGAGTAATTGCCAATTATAAGAATGGCTCGTTCGGTGCATCTCTTCGTGGGGAATTTTTAGGGGAGAACCGAGGAGACTCGAGGGTGGAGGTATGGGGCCCAATTCGCGAATCGGGCCTTAGCCCCTTAACTTGTGCCCTCGAGATAATCCGAGCGGCGTTGTATATTATGCTACTATAATTTTTCACATTGGAATATAATCGAGAATTTTATTTTTTTTTTCCGAGACAATAGTGTTTTTTTTTTTACATAAAAAAATTTATTTTTTCTGGCCAGTTTTTTTTTTTTTTTTAATATGCGCGTTAAGGGGTTAAGTCGTCCGGAGGTATTGAGGAACGAAATTCGAATGGGCCTCGAGTCGCGAAACGGCGACTCCACCGTCGCGCCACTTTCCCTTGCATAGCGATGCCGCCCACGCTCCTAGGAGCGAGCAGAGCGAGTAGCGAGTAACGAGGAGCAAGTAACGAATAACGAGTAGCGATTCGATTCCCGGTCGATTTTTAAGGTTACGGTCCCTCGAGCCGTCTTTCCAAGCCGTCGCGAGGAACGCCACGAGGAGTTGCAACCCGACGCCGAGAAGGCGATCCGCCGTGCGCGCTTATCGGCCGACGCCCGGCGTCGCCGTCGAGGGTCACTTATTTGTTTCGGCTATCTTATCGGCGACACGTCCGCGATATATATAACACATAGATAGGTATACATATATACACAGACCCGCCGAGATGCATTTACACCGGGGCGGAAGAGCGCCGCGAAGAAGTGGCTCGAGTCGCCTCCACCTTCCCTCCCTCGTGGAATAATTCCCGAAAAAGTACCCCGGAAAATTCGGAAAAAATTCCCGTATCTTATCTCCGACCCTCCGGAAACTTTCCCGATAGGCGAAGACGCTCTCCCCGAGGAGATAGGGAGCGATCCAGGCACGTCGCCTGGCGCATCTCTTCAGGGATGCCGAGAGGAGATGCGAGTTGCCGAACTCTCGCCCTCTCCCCCTGGAACCGCGACTGGAGGGATATGTACGTAAGTACA